CATCCGCAGCGAACGAAACTGTATGTGGGATACGCGCTATGCAGATAAATTAATTTCCCAAAAGCGGTGCCTCTGTGCCTTCAGACGTTTTCTAGCATGGTGTAAAGTAATTCGAAAGACATGCGTACACGGGATAGTGATAGCTGATAGCCGTTTGTGTCTCCGCCCGTAGGCGAAGGGATGACCATTCTAGGAAGCGACAGGTGACGAAACACTGAATGCGCGGTCGAGAGGCTGGACAGTGGACGGGCAAGAGATACGCAGTCGCGCGCATCGAAAGAGCGAAAATCGATTGCAACACCGTGCTAAATGATGAAGATGGTACTGTTATACTCTGCTAGCCCTTCGCTTTGAATATTTTCTAGTCCCAAGAAGATGCTGGTTAGAAAGTTCTAGTGCCGTTTTTCCTCATGATAGAGCTATAACTCATACCGTCGCAATCAATCGGGCCGGCATCTGAGGGAGTGGAATGAGCCCAGTCTAGCCACGTTCTCTACCAAATGTGATCGATCCAGAAAGAAAATAACAATGGTAGAAAGAGCCGTTGGCCCCAGTCCATGCCTGCTGACTCCACTCCGACTGGTTGCGACGGTACCCAACGTGTGGATGCTTCAGCGCTAACGTAATCGCTGAAGAGGGCAAGGCGACGGTAGGGCCACTCGGCAGTTCTGCCCGGAAATGCATAACTCCCTGTTTTTCTCTAACAGATGTGACCTCGTACTTTACTCAGGCTGTGCTCATTTGGAATAGCTTACAGCAACCCCGAAGCAAAAATTCGGCTTAGTTGACCACGCAACTCTGGTCGTCTGCGCTCTTAGCATAAGCCTTCGTTAGGGGAGAACCACAGAGGCAGGGTCAAGTGGGATCCACCCAGAGCACGCCATCGTTGTGATGATCACAATGGGGGGGGGGTCGTATTTGGTCGTTGTTGGGAGAGAGACTGCCAAACTACAGTTGAAAATGATAGTTAGAATCCTGTCGACCCCCCCCCCCTCCCGCGACTAGCAGCAAAATGTTTGGGGGAAAACAGAAATTACGGGGAAGCTATGTAGTGTTACGGGGAATCGTTGAGAAACATGTGAAAGATCTAGGAGGTGGTAGTAGCATAGGGAGGGGGGTATATTTCAGATGGAATTAGAGAAGTCGTTTTTTTTCCAGAATATCACAATGCGATTGGCGTCCGCTGGTTCCACCGCCCCATCCCCTCCTTCCCTAAACTAATTGATTTCAAAAGTTCTCAGACATTTGTGTTATGTCCTCATTCTGAAAGGTTTATCCCGCCACTTTTGGATGGTCTCTCAGGCAGGTCTCGAAGAGTCGTTCCGATAGAGGAAAAAAACGGTCTTCAAAACCAGTCTGAGCGTTCGCCCGAACGTGGTTTCTGTCTAATATGCCGCCTGAATTCACCTTCTGAACACCATCGCCGCAACGTCACGTTGTTCCTGTTTTTTCTGGCCTTGTCTCACCCGCTACAGGATGTTATAAGGAAATCTCCGCTCGCAGCACCGTCCACTCTTGGTTCGTCAAGTTCAAGAAAGGCGAGCTATTCTATCGAAGATGACGAAATGACAGAGCGGCCAACGACTGTGGGTTTGGACGTACGGCGGGAACAAGTGAAAGTGCGGCATAGCAAAACTCGTAAGCTGCTGTCAGCCTTAACTTTTGCCAACCGACCGGTGGGTCGTAGACTGTGAAGGCAATAGAAAAAGGTTCAAAATTTTGCCGAGGGGCACCACATGCATTATCACAGAGGGACAAGATCGGAGGGTCGACACGACACTTTCTTATCTCACCCTCAAACGCACGCACTCGTGGTTGGACCTAATCACCGGACATGAAAAGTGGGTTACTGTACTCTAACATCATCCGCCGTGCCATGGCTAGACGATGAAGGACAAGCAGAAGTCGTCCTGAAACATAACCTGCATGGAGAGAGATGCTGCGCATCTAGTAGAAATGTTCGTGAGGTAGAGTACTGGGATCTACTGAAATCAGATACAGCAGTGACTGCCGACATCTACGTTGCTCAACTACGAAATCTGAATGCTTACCTCACGAAGACATGGGAGAATAGCAACGCTAAAGTTTTTTACTATCCAGCATGAACAATGTCAGACCACATGTAGCAAGGGCGGCGGAAAAGTGAAACTTTTCGACGTAAATGACTGGAGTGTCCTCTCAAAGCACCATACCTCCAGACATTGCACCCTCTGACTACCACGTGTTCTCGAACTTCAACGCCATTTGGACAGTCAAAAATTTAAAACCCACTACGACGTCGAAAAGGCACTAGATTTTTCAATGCCCAGCCAGCCACATTCTGAAGATGGGCATCCTACAATCTACCACTCGTGGCAAAAGACCATGGATGATAATGGAGCATATTTTACATGACTAGCTGTGGTTTTGGCACTATTTACTCTTTACTGCCCCAATCTTCCAAAAACAGGCCAGTTTTGACCGACTTTTTTCTGCGTTGCAGAATTGGCTAAAAATTTGTTCCCTGGGGTAGTTTGACCTCCTGAACATGAATATCACATCCGCTCGGCACGAAACCTCCTGGCGCCCGCGCCACAGGCGCCGGCGCCAAAACCCTAAATCACCAAATTCGCTGAAAACTTGTTCCCAGGGGTAGTCTGACCTCCTGAACACGAATATCACATCCGCTCGACCGAAACCTCCTGGCGCCCACGCTACAGGCGCTGGCGCCAAAATACCCCAAATCACCGGCGCCTGTGGCGCGGGCGCCAGGAAGTTTCGGGCTGAGCGAATGTGATATTCGTATTCTGGGGTCAAACTACCCCAGGAGAAACATTTGAGCCAAATGTCCACGGAGAAAAAATCGGTCAAAAACTGGCTCAATTCTGGATGGTTGGGGCAGTAAAGGGTAAAGAGTGCCAAGGGGTTTTTTTAGTTTTTGTGCAGAAATAAATTTTGGGCTTCAAATATCAGAGGACTTTTAAATCAACTTAATACATCAATGCCGATGCTTCAACGTTTGTTGGCATGCCCTACTGCCTGTCATAGAACAGACAATGTTCTTCTTTATGAGTGCCACGGTATTTTTCCACGAGCACGGGCTAATGGGTTTCCTCACCTCTGTGGTAGGGTAACAAGAAGGAGCCAAGGCACAATCAGTTGCGACAGTCATCTTATGAAGTGCTGAAGTAGAGTGCGCTGCAGACCGCGATTCGACACTGCACCACTAATTTTGGCCGTTTTGATGTAGCAGGGATTATGGACCAGGAGGTGAGGATTTTGCATAAGCTAAGGAGCTTCAAAGTAAGCTCGATATCCATCTGTGGCTGCTTTTTTATCCTTTTGTTTCTCATGTCACCCACCTATTCATTATCAATGACAATTTTTGCTTAAATACATTTTTTAAGAAAGGCGGCGTTTGAGACCGTTCCCGAAGAGCACGCGACTACGCCAGCAACAAATCGCCCTAACAGTTTGGGGATGGTTCCACCAGATACGATGATGAACTATCGTGTACCAGCAGCGGGAACGATTCGTGAAACTCGTGGATCTGATTCATCGTGATCTGTTGGACTACCGACTGCCTCAAAGTTTTCCCCTTTGACTCTGCAAGAACATCGTAAAGTTATTTTTCTGTAATTTATTTTCTCTTCAAATGCCTATGTTTGCCAGTCGAGTATGTCTAAAGCTTTCTCTCGTTTTGTCGATTCGATATAGATCGTATGAAATTAGAGCGTTTAGATCCGTAGTTCTCGTTTGTCCAGGAAGCCTAGTCTTAGTATACAGGTCTGGGACGCGAGCGGCTGCGGCGCGACTTGTTTACTTTCATGCGATTTTTTCTCTGCTGCACGCGTTGTTTCTGTACCTTGGTCGTTACTTGGCGAGCAAGAGATGTGCTCGTTGGAAGTTCACAGGTTTCTTTCCTAGCATCTATCTGATTCACTTTTTCCCTGCTATTCTCTAGTCAAACACTAGCCTGTGTATATAGAATGAGATTGTTACCGTAATCCGTCATCATCATCATCATCGTCATGACATTTTGTTGCATTTTTCTAACTTCCTAAGTCGAGGCGTAGATCTGTTCATACAACGTGATCATCGGTCGCAGAACGACGATTAGTTCAAGTGACAGTTGTTGATTACTTACTTTTACTCATTTATTCGTTGTTCATGTACTTTATTGTTTCATCTCAAACTTTCAATTTGTCCCCCCGAGTGTACTGTAAATGTTATTAATTCGCTAGACAGATACCCTTTGTCGTACATTACTACTAGGTATTTTACGAGTGCAAAAATTTTGTCAGCATATCGTTTAGATTCTTCATTCATCGTGATTTGTATGTTACCATATGTTTTCTAAATATTATATTTTATAAACAGATTTGACTTGCCATATTACTATATAAAGATTCGAATGAGCTATTGACCCATCAGCTGAGAGGTTCTATTCCTTGCTCCCGACGTACACTGCCGATTGGAGTGCGTTCATACTTCGCGATCCGATCACCTGATCGCGCGATCCGAGTCAACGGAGCTCACGTACAGTAGACTTAATCGCGACTCTCGCGCGCTTCACGCAAACGGCGCCAGCTGTGCGCGACCGATTGGTGCGCACCAAACAGTCGCGCGCAACCATCGCTCGGACCACGAAGTATGAACGCGGCATTGGATGGAATCGCAAGACAAGGGCCTTCAGTAAGCGATTATTAACTCGTCGGTGGCTTTCCGACAAGTTAATAAATAGACACTAGTAACTTGTGGAATTACTATGTGCGAGTTAATGGGTGCGCAACTACAGTACCCTAGTACCGTAGCCATGTTCCGCCCACGCCGCCCATAATATCCAGCACTGGCGTCGATGCCAAGATCCCGCAGCGAATCACGCACTCAGCGATGGAGAACAACCAAAAGTGAGAGGGTTCAGATAAGTAGCGCGTTTGGCTATGGTCAGGCATGTGGGTGGCTGCGTGGGCGGAGTATGGAGACAGCACCCGGGTATCACTACCCTCCAACCCCATTTAAGGTAATTGCGACTGATAAAAATTGTTTCATTTCCGGTTCACTTCAGATGCTT